TCTATTCTATTCTATTCTATTCTATTCTATTCTATTCTATTCTATTCTATTCTATTCTATTCTATTCTATTCTACTCTACTCTACTCTACTCTACTCTACTCTACTCTACTCTACTCTACTCTATTTTCATTCTATTCCTTATTCTGTTCTATTCTATTCTATTCCATTCCATTCCATTCCATTCCATATTTTCTATTCTAGTCTAGTCTAGTCTAGTCTAGTCTAGTCTAGTCTAGTCTAGTCTACTCTACTCTACTCTACTCTACTCTACTCTACTCTACTCTACTCTATTTTCATTCTATTCCTTATTCTATTCTATTCTATTCTATTCTATTCTATTCTATTCTATTCTAATTCTATTCTATTCCATTCCATTCCATTCCATTCCATTCCATTCCATTCCATTCCATTCCATTCCATTCCATATTTTCTATTCTATTCTATTCTATTCTATTCTATTCTATTCTATTCTATTCTATTCTATTCTATTCTATTCTATTCTATTCTATTCTATTCTATTCTATTCTATTCCATTCCATTCCATTCCATTCCATTCCACTCCATTCCACTCCACTCCACTCCACTCCACTCCACTCCACTCCACTCCACTCCTCTACTCTACTCTACTCTACTCTCTCTACTCTACTCTACTCTACTCTACTCTACTCTACTCTACTCTACTCTACTCTACTCTATTCTCATTCTATTCCTTATTCTATTCTATTCCTTATTCTGTCCTGTTCTATTCTACTTTGTTTTTTCTCATCTTGAATGGCAAGTGGACCAAGCATCCTTTGTTGTCTTCCGCTCAGGCCTTGGCTGGGGAGGTTGGCATGAGCAACGAACTGGACGAAGTGGCCCGGGCTCTCTTCAATGGTCACATTCCAAACATCTGGAGGAAGTTGGCTCCCGATACGCTGAAGACCCTGGGCAACTGGATGATTTATTTTAAGAACAGGTTTCTGCAGTACACATCGTGGGTAGGTAGACACACACACAGCCCCATCGCAGCACCCTTGTTAAGTGGGGGAGAGGCTGTGCTTTGGGGTAGAGGACCCCCCTTTCCAGAGCATGCTCAGGTCACTTTTGGCATATAATGCCTTGGCAAGGCCACCCTTAGAATGCTTGCATCCAGTTTTGGTCACCACAATGTAAAAAAAGATGTGGAGACTCTGGAAAGAGTGCAGAGAAGAGCAAGGAAGATAATTAGGGGACTGGAGGCTAAAACATACAAAGAACGGTTGCAGGAACTGGGTATGTCTAGTTTAATGAAAAGAAGGACTAGGGGAGACATGATAGCAGTCTTCCAGTATCTCAGGGGCTGCCCCAAAGAAGAGGGAGTCAAGCTATTCTCCAAAGCACCTGAAGGCAGGACAAGAAACAATGGGTGGAAACTCATCAAGGAGAGAAGCAACCTAGAACTAAGGAGGAATTTCCTGACAGTCAGGACAATTAATCAGCAGAACTCCTTGCCTCCAGAAGTTGCAAATGCTCCTCCGATTTGGCTGCTGGAGGGGCCGGCGGCCCACAGGCCACAACACAAATCGAGTTTTCCTTGCTGCCCTTAGGTTGAAGAAAGCGAGCCGAGCGTCATGTGGCTGTCAGGGCTGCACATTCCCGAGTCCTACCTCACGGCGCTTGTCCAAGCCACCTGCAGAAAGAACGGCTGGCCGCTTGACCGCTCCACTTTATACACCCAAGTCACCAAATACCGGACCGCGGACGAGGTCACGGAACGACCGGGCCAAGGTAAAGCTGAGTCTGGTGAGATTCGAACTTGCAGTAATTGCAGGCAGCTGGTGCTACTTAACAGCGCTTTAGTCTGCTGCGCCACCAAGGCTCTTATATACTACGTAGTTACGATGTTATTTTGCATTCAGGAGCCTGGCAGCCCACGGATAAAAACCGTTCTTCAGCCTGTTTGTGCAGCTGCCTATGCTTCTATATCTCCCTTCCCGATGGTGGGAGGGTAAAGAAGGGCTGGCCAGGGTGCGAGTCGTCCCTGTATGTGTGAGTCCAGCCCTGTATTTGTTGAGGGGGGGGTGGCGCAGCATTTCTACAATGCGAGGTAGCTGAGGACCCTCTCTCGGGGCTGGGCGCCTCCCTTCTCCCTCCCTCCAGGGTGTTTTGTCTCCGGCCTGTACCTGGAGGGGGCCGATTGGGACCTGGACAACGGCTGCCTCACCAGGAGCAAGCCCAAAGTGCTGGTGGTGGATTTGCCCATCCTGAAGATCATTCCCATCGAGGCCCATCGGCTCAAGCTGCAGGTACGAGGCTGAGGTCGCACGCTGGCGGTGGGTTTTTTGATTTGGGGGTGGGTGGGAGAGAGGATATTCCTTCCCAGACAGGGATGACCTTCTCTCTCATTGACGGTTCATCGATGGGCACTTCGTTTGGCAGGTGGTCTGGCAATGGTGGGGCCCTTGGGGCTCTTCGAGTTTTGGTGGGTTTCTTGAAGACGTTTCATGACCCTACTAGGTAACATCATCAGCGCTAGAGGGAGTGAGGTTTGCTCTCTCCTTATACACAAGAGCCTTGCCCTTATCAGTGTAGGTGGCAGTGGTCTTGCTGGTCCTTCGATTAGGCTGCTGTTTAGAGTTTGTGGCATTAGTTCCTTGATTGGAGTGTTGTTTACTGCTCGGATATAAACAGGGAGCAAACCCCACCCTCCCTTCTAGCACTGATGATGTTACCTATTTGGGTCCTGAAACATCTGCGGGAAAACCACCAAGCTCAGAGAACAGCAAGGACCCCACAGGTCTCCTCCTCCTCCTCTTCTCCTCTCTGCAAATCCCCCTTCCTTCTAGCACTGATGACGTTATCTAGTTGGGTCATGAAATGTGTGCAAGAAAACCAAGCTCAGAGAGCACCAAAGATCCCACAATCCTCCTCCTCCTCTCCCACTCCCTTCTAGCACTGATGATGTTCCCTTGTTGGGTCATGAAATGTCTGCAAGAAAACTAAGCTCAGAGCACCCCCAGGAACCCCCCCCCCAGTTGAATCCTGAGCTACAATTATTCACTTCTGTAGGTTTTGTCTGCTTTTTTTTTTTTAAACGAGGACATCATGCTGGTTTCCTTTTTTTTTAGAACACTTTCCGGACTCCGGTCTACACGACGTCCATGCGGAGAAACGCTATGGGGGTTGGATTGGTATTTGAAGCTGATCTCTTTACCACAAGGCATATTTCTCACTGGGTCCTCCAAGGGGTTTGCCTCACCTTAAATGCCGATTAAGCATCGGTGCAGCCACGCCAATAGCTCTGTTAACCAATTTGTGGGGAAGAGGTGAAGAAAGACGACAGTCGAAAAAAAAACTCAACTTTCCTTCCTTGCTCTGGCCACTTCCAGGTTGCAAAGTTACTTTTTGCAGGTTTGTTTAATTTTCAGTTGCCATTTCTTGTTCTTTTGTTGTTTTTTAAACAAATATTTATATATTGCACTTTATATCAATAAATTAATTTTGCAAATGTGTTTGATGTAAAAGAGGTGGTTTGGGGGGGGGTGGGGGGGGTCTAAAGCTAAGGCGACACCCAGGAAAGTTTGACGTATTTATTGTTATCCCAAAAATAAATATGTGACTTATTTTTATTTATTTTATTTTATTTTATTGACTTGACTTGATAACAGTTCCACATAATGCCATGGGTTTCGTTACAGCGGATTTAACTTGTCCGTCTGGCTTGAAAATGGATTTATATGGTCCTTTTTTGGCCGATTTTTCTCGGTGTGGATGCAGTTTTAAACCCTGCCTAGTGAAACCCACACCAGTGAAAATTGTCTCCTTAATCTGTAAGAAAGATTTTAAATTCCACGGTGTTGTTCCTCTCAAATTCTTGGAGCAGAAGCTTGGCAGTAAAATTTGACCCAGAAAGAAATTAGAAGGTTCTAAATCGACGCTGGTTCATGCCAGGCGTTTTAAAATGGTATCGTGTTCAGAGTAAGTGCCTTTTGTCATTCCATTAAACACCGACCTAAATCAGGGTTTTTCTCTCTCTCTTGGCAATTTGAAGACCGGCGGACTTCAACTCCCAGAATTCGAGATGCTGGCTGGGGAATTCTGGGAGTTGAAGTCCATAGGTTTTCAAGTTACCATAGTTGAGAAACACTAAACATTTTTTTTTTTTAAATCCACCGCAAAAGGAATATCATAAGCTTATCTTGAAAAGTAGGATAATCTTCTTTTTCTGGAATTTTTGGGTGCTCCATCACTGGAGGTTTTTCAAAAGAGACTGGACAAAATGGTATAGGGCAGGGGTGAGCAAATGTGGCCCTTTTACAACTTGTGGACTTCAACTCCCAGAAGTCCACAGGTTGTAAAAGGGCCACATTTGCCCACCCCTGGTATAGCGCAGTGAGGGCGAACCTTTTCGGCACCGAATGCCCAAACAGGAAAGCACATTAATGTGCGTCCATGTGCATGCGGCGGAGCACTGGAAACCAGACCAGCTGGCCGGTGCGCGCATACCTGTTTTTGGGCCACTTTCAGGCTGTTTTTGGCCTGTTTCCAGGCTGTTTTCCAGCTGTTTTGGGGCCATTTTCAGACCGTTTTCCAGGCCATTTCCAGGCTGTTTTCAGGCCATTTTTCAGAAACCAGAAAAGCAGCTGGCAACAGCATGTGTGTGCCGAGAGAGAGGACTCTGTGCCCCCCCCCTCTGGCACGCATGTCATAGGTTCACCATCACGGGTATAGGGTCTTCTGCTTAAGCAGGGAGGTTGGACTAGAAGACCTCCAAGGTCCCTTCCAACTTTGGTTATTCCTATCCTCCAGCTGAATTTTGAACTACCAGATTGCAGCCCCTCCAACCAAGCACCCACGATGGCCTTCAGAAGACCCTCGTAATCACCCCGATGGTTGGTTGGCTCTCCATCTCCAACAGAGACCCCTTCCACTCCACAACGGTGGGCGGCGTCCGTTCCTCCTCTCCACCCTCTTCCACTCCCTTCCCCCCCCACAACCTTCCTCCACACCTTCAACAAAGGACACAAACAAGCTCAGCCAGGATTAGCAAAATAAGAGTTTGTTGGGATTTTAGTCGATTAGTAGATAAAAACGTGAACAAAGGAAAAAGGAACATTGTGATTAAGGTCACGTGCCGGAAAGGCGGACAGAGTATGGGGTGGGGTGTCTCCTTCGGCTGCTCTTCCTTCCTACCACCACCACCCCGGCACCCGCGTGTGTGTGGGGGTCCAGGCTGCCCCACCCCACCCTCGAAAATAAGAATTTATCATGACTGTGCGAAGGGACAGATTAGGGAAGGCTTTTACTGTTAAGAGCCGATACACAGCGCGGCGGGGCTGATGGTGAGCTGGCCGTTTTCGTTAGGGCTATGGGAGGGCCGGGCGTGGGGCCTCCTCGGCGCGCCCCGAATAAATGAAAGGCGCATCAGAAGCAAGCAATTCAGGCAGACACACCTGAGTTTGGCTACAGCGTTTCATTAGGTAGATAACTCTGCAATAAGAACAGGTGAGGAAGAAGTGACTCTAGTTCTGGAAAGATTTTGGCATGCACGCGGGGGGAGGGGGGGGCGCTCGGAAGAGGGAGGGAGGGGGGTGCAGCCCGGCCCTCTGCTGACCGCCGAGAGTCCCCTCCAAGCGCCCGGGTTCAAACAGTCCGATCCGTCCCCGAATGCTTGCGAACCATTTTGCTTCCATTCACCTGGTCCACAGCCAGCGTCTCCACCTCGGGCGGCTGGGGCTGGGCGGGAGGGACGTGGTGGATGCGGTGGGCCACCCCAACGTGGCTCTTGTGTTGCCTCTCCCGGGCCGGGCTGTGGGGCTCGGACGAAGTGCGCTCGGACGGGATGGGTGGGATGACTAAAGGCCTCTCTTTCAGAAGGTGCAGCTCGGTGGATTCCCTGGCCAGTAAGAAGGGCGTGGGGTCAGGCATGGCGTCCACCGGCTCCCGCAGCAGCAGCTTACGGCTATCCGAGCCTAATCGGTAGGCCTCCTCAAATTCGGGGTTGAGCGGCGTGGACAGGCTCTTCTTCATCCGGCGTCGCGGAGTTTCCGGAAGCTTCTCTTTGGGAGGAGCGGGTTTGTAGCCGGAGAGCACGGGGCTTCCGGACGGAGAGCTGTCCGACGTCCCGCTGGAGCTCATGAGTTTTTTCTTGGTGGCGTGGAGCTGGGAGGTCAGGTAGGCGATGGTGCCGGCCCGTTGCTCCAGTTCGCTGGAGAGCATGTTCAATTTATGGCTTTTCATCTTTAACTCTTCCAAGTATTTCTTCTCCCGCTCCTTGATGGTGTTCTCCAGCACCGCGATCATGGCATTTTTCTGCTCAAGCTCTTTCAATAATTCGTTGTTTTCCATCTCCTTTGCTTTGAGCTGGGCCTCCAGCTCTTCGCATTTCCTTCTGAGCTCTTCGCTCCTCGAAATCCCATTTTCTGAAAGAGGGAGGAGAGAGAAGGAGGGTTTTTATTTTTCGAAAGGGGATTCAAGACCGACATTCCACAAAGCGAGCCGGGAACCGAAGCCGAGAAGCAGAACGGTTTTCCCGCGTCGGTCGCTGGGAAAAAAAAACACGGCAGGCGAACTGCCTTCCCTGTGAAAACACCTCCCGAGGTTGCCAGCAAGGAAATGCAGAGGAAAATAAAGGAATTTGATTTAAAACTCAGACGTCTCATAAAAACCGCAGCAATGAAAATGCCCCTTCCACAACGTTTGAAGAATACCTTAAGTACGGAAAGAGGGTTATACGCGGATACGTTCAGATGCCTCACCTGTCAAGTCTGAACTTTTGAGAGTCAACTCGTAGGTCAGATCTGAAAAACAGACAAGAGTTAGGATATTATTGAAACTCACTCTCGGCTGAATCTTCCTGGGGAAACCGGGCAACTCATAAACGAAACCCAGAGAACGTTTTAACGGGACTTTCTGGAAAACTAACGCCACTTTATGACCATTGACTTGCAGAGTGACCAATCTCCACGCTGGGAAACCTACTTTATTTACATGGCACTTTTATCCACTTAAGGGACGTGGTGGCTCAGTGGCTAAGAGGCTGAGCTTGTCGATCGAAAGGTCGGCAGCTCAGCGGTTCGAATCCCTAGCGCCGTGTAACGGGATGAGCTCCCGTGACTTGTCCCAGCTTCTGCCAACCTAGCAGTTCGAAAGCAGGTAAAAAAATGCAAGTAGAAAAACAGGGACCACCTTTGGTGGGAAGGGAACAGCGTTCTGTGCGCCTTTGGCGTTGAGTCATGCCGGTCACATGACCATGGAGATGTCTTCGGACAGCGCTGGCTCTTTGGCTTTGAAACGGAGATGAGCACTGCCCTCTAGAGTCAGGAACGACTAGTATGTATCTGCGAGGGGAACCTTTACCTTTTTACCTTTCTCCACTTATCTGTAAATGCTATCAGCAGGCAACAGAAGTTCCCTCTGCCCCCAAATCTGGACACATCAGCCAAGCCAAAGAATTAAAAAATATATGTTATCCGCCCAGTGTGTTCTCTTGCAAGATGGGGGGACTTCAACTCCCAGAATTCCCCAGCCAGCAAAGACAGGGAGTCCTCGACTTAACAACAGCTCCTTTAGTGACCAATGTTAACAACGGCACCATAAAAGGTTGACTTAATGACCGTTTTTCACAGTTATGACCTTTGCAGCATCCCCGTGATCACGGGATCCAAATTCAGGCGCTTGGCAACCGACTTGTCTTTATGACGGTTGCAGTTGTCCCGGGATTCCCCCTGACAAGCAAAGTCAAAGGGAGAGCTGGATTCACTTAACAACCGGGTCGCTAACCTATATCGAGTGCGGCGATTGTCTTAATGACGGCAGCCGGAAAGATCATAACACAGGGCTGAAAAACTCACTGAGCCAACATCTCGCTTAGCGATGGCAATGTTGGGTTCAATTGTGGCCGTAAGTCGAGGACTACCTGTACATTGAGGAGCCCTGTTTCCCCAAGCCATCTTTTCCTTTTCTCCCGGTACCTGTGCAGTGTTGCTGCAGGCGGCGGATCTCAGTGTGCAGCCCCTTGAGGGTATCTGCGTGCTGCCTCTGGAGGAAAAGCAAATTCTTTTGGGCGCTGTGCAGCTGGTTTTCCAGGTTCGATGCTGCCATCCTGGCATCCAGCAAATCTGGAGGGAGGGAAAGAAAAGGGAGGGAAGGAGAGAGGGAAGGAAGGAGGGAGCGCACCTTTAGATGACACAGAAGGTATCGCTTGGCGAGGAGGAGGAAGAAGAGATCAAAACGAAGCCGGGGGGGGGGGGGGGGGGGGGGGGGGGGGAGAGACGATCGGCGCCACCCTACGAAAAGGCTAGCGAAGGCCGCATCAGCCACCTGCCGGGGTCCACGGAGAGCCCGAAAGTTGGAAATTGGGAAGGATCCTTCTCTTCATTTACCATCACTGATATTTTCAGTTGGAGCTCACCACCTGTAGAACTCTCCACCTGCTTGGGATAGCTGTGTGGTCATAATGGGTGAGAGGGAGGGGAGGGGAGAGGAGGGGAGAGAGGGGGAAGATGCCACCGGGTGCTCTTCAGTTGGATCCACGTATTTATGGAATTGGCATCAGAGAGACTTTGGAGTGGGGTTCGAAGAAGGAAATCGGCTGCCCAGGAGCCCTTGGGAGTTCTCGTCTCCTCATCCTCAGAAGACCGAACAAACATTCATCAGACCAACAAAATCTGCCCTCAAGGAATGCCCAACGCCTGCAAGGAACTGAAGAGGCTCCTTCGGATGAGAAGCGAAACATTTTCAAGGGAACAACCAACCCCCACCCCAAGAAAGTCTGGTTGCCTTTTTGGAAAAAGCACCCCTGGGACAACCATGGCTTGGATGATTGAGAATCTCCATAGACACCTGCAAAGAAGTTTCTGGAACGGAGGACTTCTGAGTTTGGACGTCAACATCACTGTTACCACCAGGGAGTGGATGTTATAGTTCCAGCGACTCCCTAACAGGTGTCCTTGAATGCGAGGATGGAGAAACCCAAGGACACTGGGGTACTACCACCTGAGCTGCCCAAACCACCTCCAAAGCCAGCTTAGATGCCACCAGCCTGATGGAGATCTCGGATCAACCCATGATAATCCTTCCTTTCAACAACAGAGACAGAAGATCAGCGGGGGATGGTTTAGAGCGTTGGCTAAACCATGATACTCCCAAAGGTTTGAGCCGTGTCCATCAAGACTGTGGAGACCTCCATCAGGAGGGCATTTTGAAGCCAAGGACGTGGTTCTCCACAGAGGAACACGAGATCTGGAAGGCATTAGAACAGCCCTTAACAGAACAGTAACAGTAGCAGAGTTGGAAGGGGCCTTGGAGGTCTTCTAGTCCAAGCAGGAGAGCCTATACCATTTCAGGCAAACGGTTGTCCAATCTCTTCTTAAAAACCTCTACTGTTCCTGGGGAGGAAAGCCATGGCCAATCTAGACAGCATCCTAAAAAGCAGAGACATCACCCTGCCAACAAAAGTGCGTATAGTCCAGGCGATGGTTTTCCCAGTTGCAATGGATGGCTGTGAAAGTTGGACCATAAGGAAGGCTGAGAAGGCCAAAGAATGGAGGCCCTTGAACTCTGGTGCTGGAGAAGACTCCTGCGAGTCCCTTGGACTGCAAGGCGATCCAACCAGTCAGTCCTAGAGGAGATCAACCCTGACTGCTCTTTCGAAGGCCAGATCCTGAAGAAACTCAAATCCTTTGGCCACCGAATGAGAAGGAAGGACTCCCTGGAGAAGAGCCTAATGCTGGGAACGATGGAGGGCAAAAGAAGAAGAAGGGGACGGCAGAGAACGAGGTGGCTGGATGGAGTCACTGAAGCAGTCGGCCGTGAGCTTCAATGGACTCCAGAGGATGGTAGAGGACAGGAAGGCCTGGAGGAACGTGGTCCATGGGGTCACGATGGGTCGGACACGATTTCGCAACTAACAACAACAACTGTTGGAGGATAAGCAGTTTCACTGGTTCATTGTTAATTTCACTAGTTAATTGTTCCCACTGTTAGGAATTTTCTCCTTAGTTCTAGGTTGCTTCTCTCCTTGGTTAATCTCCATCCATCACTTCTTGTCCTGCTTTCAGGTGCTTTGAAAAATAGATAGAAACCCCCCCCCTCTTCTTTGTGGCAGCCCCTGAGGTATTGGAAGACGGCTAGCATGTCACCCCAAGTGAAGATCCTGGGCCGAAGGGAGAAATGGGTTCTCCGAAGAGAAACCCCCCTCCCCTCTTTTTTCCAGACCCTCAAGGTCTCCTCCCTCGTAGACATTTCTCGGTGACATTATGTGTCTGGGAGAAGCAGCCTCATCTGCAGATGTCTTACTGATGCCTTACTGAATATTCCCCTCTGCCCCCACCCCATCCCTAAAAAAATAAAAATAAAAATCAGGTGACAAAGCACAGCATGGTGTGACTCGCCCATCGGAGTGGCTCTGAAGCTGGAGGGAAGGGAAGCAATCTGCTTTATGCAAGTCATATGATCTCAATTTTTAAAATTGATTCTCAGCGAAGTATAAAAGATGTTCCTTGGCAGACCGGTGACTTCATCCATTATCTCGGCAACGTTTCCAGGACACCCTGCTGCCCAGCTCTCCCTTCTCTGCGCCTGGAAATGGTTAACTAATGAATCTTGTAGGAATTTAATGTAGGTCGATGCTGACTTTTCTACTTCAGCTCTCTCTCTCCGTCCGAGGCCAACTTGGAAGGTGTAGGAGAACCCAAGGTTATTCCCTGTGGTTTTATTTTTCTTTGCAAAAGCCCAGAGTTTGCAGGGAAGAGGAGCCATTAATATTTACTGCTGCCCCGCCCAGGGTCAGGAAACCTGGACAAATTCTACAGAATGCTACAGGATCAGCTCTGGCCTTGAGGGTTGTCTTTCGAAATTTGGCTGCAGCAGCAGCCGCCAAAAAGATAACACGATCCTTGCTTGGTGGCATAAATATTTACAGACCCCTCGCATCCTGGACATAAACTCTTTCAACTCCTACCCTCAAAACGACGCTATAGAGCACTGCACACCAGAACAACGAGACACGAGGACAGTTTTTCTCCGAACGCCATCACTCTGCTAAACAAATAATTCCCCCAACACTGTCAAACTATTCACTAAGTCTGCACTACTATTAATCTTCTCATCCTATCACCCATCTCCTCCCACTTATAACTGCATGACTAACTTTGTTGCTTGTATCCTTACAATTTATATTGATAGTTTCCTGATTGCTTATTTGTACCCTATGACTATCAATAAGCGTTGTACCTTATGATTCTTGATGAACATATCTTTTCTTTTATGTACACTGAGAGCATATGCACCAAAGACAAATTCCTTGTGTGTCCAATCACACTTGGCCAATAAAAAATTCTATTCTATTCTATTCTATTCTATTCTATTCTATTCTATTCTATTCTATTCTATTCTATTCTATTCTATTCTATTCTATTCTATTCTATTCTAATTTCTATTCTACTCTATTCTATTCTATTTCTCCTTCCTTCTTTCCTCCTCCTTCTATTTCTATTCTATTCTAAACAAAATCAAAATCATGTGAAGTGTTAGTACCATTTTATAAAGCCTTGGGAAGGCCCCACCTGGAATTCCGCATCCAGTTTTGGTCACCACGTTACAAAAAAAAAAAGAGAGATTGAGAATTTGGAAAAAGTGCAGAGAAGAGCAACAAAGAGACAAAAAGCACATGAAGAAAGGTTGCAGGATTTGAGCACGGCCAGTCTAGAGAAAAAGAAGGACTAAGGATGACATGATGGCAGTATCCCAGTATTTTAGGGGCTGCCCCAAAGAAGAGGGGGTCAAGCTATTCTCCAAAGCACCTGAAGGCAGGACAAGAAGCAACGGATGGAAACTAATCCTGGAGAGAAGCAACCTAGAACTAAGGAGAAACTTCCTAAGAGTGAGGACAATTAACTTGCTTTCAGAAGTTGTGGGAGCTTCATCACTGGAGGCTTTTAAGCAGAGACTGGACAGCCACTTGTCTCAAATTGTGTAGGGTTGGACTAGAAGACCTCCAAAGTCCCTTCCAGCTCTATTCTGAATTGAATTGTACTCAAAATGTTCTCAATCGTGGCAACTTGAGATGTCTGAACCAGAATTGACCTCAAGTGTTGAGAAGCACTGATCTAGGGACTCTACCTTCCAGCCTGGAAAACATAGATGGGGTTGTTTTGCTTGCCATCTAATCACCGCCATTATCGGTCCCTCTCTAATTAGCTCAATTGCCAAGGATGAAAGAAGCATCTCAGTTGCAGGAGTCATAAACTACAGAACTCATAAACTTGTGCGGGACTAGAGAAAACACAAAGAACAAGGGCTGAAGTCTGCAATAGCATAGCCTTCGTTCAGGATGATTCAGGGTGACACGATAGCAGTCTTCCAATACTTGAAGGGCTGCCCCAACGAAGAGGGGGGCCGCCTTATTCACCAACGCAACTATAGGCAAGACAAGAAGCAACGGATGGAAATTAACCCAGGAGAGAAGCGACCTAGAACGAAGGAGAAATTTCCTGACAGTGAGAAGAATTAACCGGCGGAACGACTTGCCTCCAGAAGTTGTAAGTGCTCCATCACTGGAGGCTTTTAAGAAGAAACTGGACAGCCATTTATCAGAAACTGCATAGATCTCCTGCACAAGAGCGAGGGGTCGGACTACATGACCTCCAAGCCCCCTTCCAACTCTATCACTGTTAACTGAATTGTGCAGATCCATCCAGAGAAATGGACAAAGTTAAAGTCGTGAGACAAACTGAGGTGGCCAGCATCCAGATAGACACACACACACATACACACACACACGATGGTAAGAAGTCTCGACATTCCGGCTCTTTCCAAAAGCTGTAATAAATGATCCTGAGACCGACTGTCCTCTTTTTTTGGGGGGGGGGAATGCGAAGGCTGGTTCCATCACACCCGCATCCTCTTCTCCCATCCTAATTTTCCAGACAAGAGGCTGCTCTGGTTCGCTTCCAGCCGACCTGCGGGAATGTCTCGGCCCTTAATGTCTCTGCAGTGTTATTTTTAGCTCCCTGTGACAAGGCAGTGATGGAGCAGGAAAAGGAGAACAATTAAGAGGACATCGTCAGTCGCACACAGACAAAAGGATGAGCTAATCTCGCCTGCTTTTTTCCCCCCAAACACTTTCTGGAAATACGGACAAGCCCCACGATTACCCATCCCTGGTGGGCCACGGCTCCCAAGCTGGCAGCTCCCGACACGGCGTTGGTGGCGACTTGCCACCCACTTACAGCATAGTGCAGACAAGATTTTGGCAAAGGCCGACAAACTGGGCTATTCGGCAGAATCCTCCGTCAGTCCATTCATTTTATTTTCCCCCGTCCTTCCACCACCAAAAACTGCAACAGTGGGAACAGGAGGACCTTCGCTTTGAAAGCGTTTAAAAATCGCCTTCCCAATCATAAAAAAGAGAGAGAGAGAGGAGTTTTGCCATCACTTCCAGCTTTAGGAGAGAGACGTTACAAATCAAAATGGCCCAACGGAGAGAAAAACTCTCCTTTTTAAGGGTCTCTTGATGATCACGATGTGCAAAACGAATCAACAAGTCCAGTTAAGCAAGGACAGGGAAGTGGCCGACAGTCTAGACCTCCTAATGTTGCTGTTAAGACTGCCGGACCCCACCCAGATCTCCAGAACCATCACTTAACCAAGATGGGCAGCTTTAGAAATCAAATAATAACCGCCCCGTGGTAGCAAACGGGCTAATGGAAATAAGACTGTAATGCACAACAGCTTTCCAGAGCTGAGCCTTGGAAAGCCGAGATGCGATGCTTAGCAAGACCCAGCTGCAAAATAATAATTTTTTTTTGACAGTGCATTGCAGTAAAAGACCAAACCTCTTTGGAAGAGGAAGAGAGCAAAGTTTAGCCTCCAGCTCTTACGCGAAACAGTCCCCCTTTTACGGAGACCCTAAACTGAGAGCCACAGACGCCGTTCTAATTCATCCAATCCAAAACCGTAGGCCTAAAATACAGCAGCTTGGCGTTTCATACGGCTGGGCAGTGCCCCACGCCACCCACGAGTCTTGCGTGAATGCCGATGGGTGCGCTCGCTGTTAATTACTCGCTGAAATATTAGTTGCTTCACACAAACAAGCGGTGACACCATCTGGCTTCATCCAATTAAATATAAAATCACCTTAAAGGTGGCACAAAGTTCACCGGCATTGCCGACACTTGGAGACACACTTACTTACACGCTTTTAAGGCCAGACTTCTGCAAGAACTGTCCTCTTTTTTAACGCCATCTTCTAACTTTCTGGAAGTTTGTAAGCTTCATCCCTCTCCTATCGAGAAAGGGGCTTCCTCTAGAGGAAGATCTGCGCATTTATTCCTGCTGTGGGTGCAGTTTCCTGTCCTTTACAACCTCACAAAAGAGCGGAGTTTGGTTTCAGCCACCTGGACTCACAACTGCCTGTCTACCATTCAGCACTTCGTAGCCATGATATTCAAGTTGGACCGGCTTAAAAAAAAAGTAACAGCGTTTGAGAAGAAAAAAAAGGTTCAAACGATGCATTCAAAAGATGATTCATAAAAACTTCCAGGCTGAATAGAGTGTTAACATTTCATGTTTTTATGGCACCCCTAACTTTATGCAGGCAACCCCCTCCCTCAAGGCATGGCTGCCTAATTTTTCCCCAAAAACTACCATGACAAAGGAAAGAAGCCCCCCCACCCCGCCCTCCGTGCCGTTCAGTTTTCCGAGTAAAGCCTCACAATTTGGATCCCGAGACACCCACCGGATCCGATGCTCCCAAATGCGCAGCCTTTCCACTAAAAATGAATAAAACAAAAATTAAAACCACTGTTAAAAAGTAGCCCATCGACAAACTCACCCCCTTTACACGTGCATTCTCAAAAATCTCCTGCTCCCCAAGGATTTACACTCCCCACCCCAAAAAGCCCCCCTCCCCGAGGATGGGAGACGTCGCGGTCCATTCAGCACCCCGCCGAGCTGCGGTGTTACCCCCGGAGTGAAATCTTGCTGCGTAAGAAGGAAGCGAAAGGAAAGCCGTTTTCATTTGCCCCCGTATCACCACCATTTTTCCCCCCCCCCCCAAAAAAAGACGCGGTCTCTTTTTTTTTTTTCCACCTGCAATGCAGGCAAGGAACTTAAGGATCCACCCTTGGACTTTCCAAGCCCCCCCTTTACACCACCACTTTTCCTTAAATTACCCGTTTCCATCCCATTGCTAAAGGCTCAGCAACCCACCACCCCACTCCCGGCGCAGTTCACACATTTCCCATCCAGTGGTTAACAAAAGCGGGGAGGAGACCCTCCCATCCCGGCGAATGTCCCACCTTCGGCTGGAGAAGCATGTAGGATATCAGACAGCCAGACAGCTAGCTAGCTTGTGAGATGGAAGGGGTGGGGGGAGGAGAGACAAGAGGGAGGGGCAGCATCCTAGCGAGAAGCTGGACTTGGTCTGTTTGCTATCATTTCCAGGAGGGTGAAGGGCCTGCGCTGAGACTGGAGCATCGCAACCATGCCACAATCTTCCCACCTTGCGTCTTGGCGGTCCGCACACGCTGCAAAGGAAAATGTGTTTGCATGCGGTGTGTGTTAAGGGGAGGGGTCCTCGTCGCCGCCACACCCTCTGTGGCTGCCCTTCGGAAGCCTCCCTTTCTCTAAAGTGAAAACCAGACTGATTCTTCCAAGTAAAAGGAGATTTAAAAAAAACAAAAATAAAAACAGCCGCGAACAGCACAATTCTATTCCGCAGGCAGGTTTCGAAGCCAGAGGGAAAGGTGGAGGGTGAAATTAGATTTAATACAGGAGGTCCTCGGCTTACGAACACAATGGAGCCCAACATTTATGTTGTTAAGGGAGACATTTGTGAAGTGCGTTTCGCCCCATTTTTTGACCTTGCTTGCCGCTTGTTGCAGCTGTTATGTTAATCACGGGGTTGTTAAATGAATCTGGCTTCCCCATGGACTTGGCTTGTCAGAAGGACGCAAAAGGGGATCATGGGACACACACACACACCAGGATGCTGCAACGGTCATAAATATGAGTCATTTGCCAAGCATCCGAATTTTGATCACGTGATGGCGGATGCTGCCCAGGTCATTAAGTGCTGTCGTTGTTTTGAACGGTCACTAAATGACCCGTTGTAAGTCGAGGACTACCTGTACACAGATAAGAGATGATAGTTAAATAGAGAGATAGGGATAGACAGACACATAGGGATGATAGACAGATATAGATAAGATTGAGCAGATGATCCTAGAGATATGGATGGATGGATGATAGATATGGATAGATGATAGAGACGATAGATGATAGATGATAAATGATAGATAGATAGATAGATGATAGATAGATAGATAAAATTGATAGATGATAGATAGACAGATAGATGATAGATAGATGATAGATAATAAGATAGATTGATAGATGATAGATAGATAGATGATAATGATAGATGATAGATAGATGAGATATAGATTGATGATAGATGATAGATAAAATAGATTGATAGATGATAGATTAGATAGATGATAATGATAGATGATAGATGAGATAGATATAGATAGATTGATGATAGATGATAGATAATGATAGATATGATAGATGAGATATAGATAGATTGATGATAGATTGATAGATAAGATAGATAGATGATAACGATAGATGATAGAGATGATAGATAGATAATAGATAGACAAATTATGATAGATGAAAGATAATAGATGATAATGATAGATGATAGATAATATAGACAGACAGACATAGATGATAGACAGATTGATGATAGATAGATGATAATGATATAGTAGATAGATAAATGATAGATAGATGATAGATAAATGATAATGATAGATGATAGATAGAGATGATAGATAATTAATAGATAGACAAATTATGATAGATGAAAGATAGATAATAGATTGATAGATGATAGATAATGATAGATGATAGATAGATAGATAGATAGATAGATAGATAGATGATATAGATAGATAGATAGATAGATAGATAGATAGATGATATAGATAGATAGATAGATAGATAGATAGATAGATAGATAGATAGATAGATAGATAGATGATATAGATAGATAGATAGATAGATAGATAGATAGATAGATGATAGATAGATAGATAGATAGATAGATAGATAGATAGATAGATGATATAGATAGATAGATAGATAGATAGATAGATAGATAGATGATATAGATAGATAGATAGATAGATAGATAGATAGATAGATAGATAGATGATATAGATAGATAGATAGATAGATAGATAGATAGATAGATAGATAGATAGATGAATTGATAGATAGATAGATAGATAGATAGATAGATAGATAGATAGATAGATGATATAGATAGATAGATAGATAGATAGATAGATAGATAGATAGATAGATAGATAGATAGATGATATAGATAGATAGATAGATAGATAGATAGATAGATAGATAGATAGATAGATAGATAGATAGATAGATAGATGATATAGATAGATAGATAGATAGATAGATAGATGATATAGATAGATAGATAGATAGATAGATAGATAGATAGATAGATAGATAGATGATATAGATAGATAGATAGATAGATAGATAGATAGATAGATAGATGATAGATAGATAGATAGATAGATAGATAGATAGATAGATAGATAGATGATATAGATAGATAGATAGATAGATAGATAGATAGATAGATAGATGATATAGATAGATAGATAGATAGATAGATAGATAGATAGATAGATGATATAGATAGATAGATAGATAGATAGATAGATAGATGATATAGATAGATAGATAGATAGATAGATAGATAGATAGATAGATAGATAGATAGATAGATGATATAGATAGATAGATAGATAGATAGATAGATAGATAGATAGATAGATAGATGATATAGATAGATAGATAGATAGATAGATAGATAGATAGATAGATGATATAGATAGATAGATAGATAGATAGATAGATAGATAGATAGATAGATGATATAGATAGATAGATAGATAGATAGATAGATAGATAGATAGATAGATAGATAGATAGATAGATAGATAGATAGATGATATAGATAGATAGATAGATAGATAGATAGATAGATAGATAGATAGATGATATAGATAGATAGATAGATAGATAGATAGATAGATAGATAGATAGATAGATAGATAGATGATATATAGATAGATAGATAGATAGATAGATAGATAGATAGATAGATAGATAGATAGATAGATAGATGATATAGATAGATAGATAGATAGATAGATAGATAGATAGACAGACAGGCTACTCACTAAGTTCTTTAGAGAGTGGGGGGACACTCTCCTTCAGTGAGGGTCTCCCTAAAAGTCATTCCATGGGGGGAAACCACCCATCTTCCATGGGGTGGGGGTGGGGGCTCCTCTCAGCCTTCCCAGAGGGAGACCTCTCTCTTTAATGGGGAGGGGTCTCCCCCTGTAGGAAACACGCCCCCTCCCTCCTCCTACAGCTCCCTCACCCTCTGAGGCGCGGGGGGGGGGGAGCTCCCCTTCCTCTGTATTTCAAGCAGGTTGGGTTGGGGTCCCTTCCCAGCGCCCCCCACCCCCCCCCAGGGCTGAAATGGGAGGGGTGAGTCATCCAAAGCCCCCCTCCCGTCCCCTTCCCCCCTCCTCTGCGCGGTGCATGATGGGAAGGACCTGCGTGGGGTGGGGGTGGGGGGGTTCTGATACTCACCCGCCGCCGCCGATGCTCCCCCCGCCCCGCTCCGGTCCTGCCGGGGGGAGGGAGGCCGAGGGGAGGGGGCGCTGCTCCCCAATGGGAGCGACGAGGCGGAGGGAGGGAGGGGAGGAGGGGGACGGGGGTGACGTCGAGGGCAGGGGAACTGCGCAGGCGCGGAGGCTCAGGTGCAGCCGCGGCGAAACAGCTGCCGCGTTGCCACGGCAACCGGCTGGGCGCTTCCCCTGGTAGCGGTTGCCGAGTTTTTTTTTTTCTTTTCATTTCCTCCCCGTCCTTTCCGTTGACGGCTCCGCCCACTCGGGGGCGGGGCCTCGGGGACGGGGCGTTCCAGAGCTCGGGGGCGTGGAAAGAGAAGCTGTGCGGAAGTTCAACCGGTGCAGTTTCACCCCTTTAGCAGACAGGAAGGCCAGGAAGCAATAATAATAATAATAATAATAATAATAATAATAATAATAATAATAATAATAATAATAATAATAATAATAATAATAATCTATTGACCTAATAGCAGCATATAAGTATATTAATTGCACGTTAGGTCATATAGTTATTATAGTTGTTATAATAATCAGATAATATATACAATAGCATATTTTATATACTATTATATTTTATATACTATTTATCTTATAGACTTTTATATACTATTTATTTTATATACTATTATATTTATATACTAGTATATTTTATATACTATTATTTTAAATATATAATTATAGTCAGTGATAATTTATAATACATAATGATTTAATGTGATTAATGTACTATATGTACATTATACTAAATTATAAATTTGCAGCCAAACGAAACTTCCTAACAACTCAAAACCCTCAATTAAACGGGCATTTATTTTATTTTTTTCTCGAGGGAAAGAATCCATTGCTGATCCGAAATCCGACAAGTGGGAGCACAGCTCCCATCATCCACAGACAGCGCAGGCTGCAGCTGGGATGATTGGCTTTATATGACGAAGCAAAGAAACAGACCAACTCGTAAAGTCTCTTTTTATTGGCGTTCTGCAAATAAACATCCGGGCACGATCAAAAGTCCCCCGATCCTCGTTTTCACAATCGATAAATGAAAGAAACGGGCTTGATGGTAGCCCAGCAAATTGGAAAATCACTGAAGGATATTTTGAAGATGATCAGCGGTTCTCAACCTTGGCAACTTGAAGACGGGTGGACTTCAACTCCCAGAATTCCCTAGCCAGCATGAATTCTGGGAACTGAAGTCCACCCCTCACTGACTGAGGAATTCTGGGAATTGAAGTCCTCCCATTTTAAACACACCAATCAGGATTAGGAGTAGCTGAAACTGGCAAATTGTTGGCAATAAAAATCCAACCTCAATTTAACTCCAGTTTTTATGATGGGTTCGTGATACGAAACCTGGTTTGGAGACAGAAGATGCCAACATGGACACCTGGCTATGAGAAACTCCTGCAAAATTCAGGGTGGGGTCTCCGTCTCTCTTTTCCGAGTTTTTCAGCCCAGATCTGGAACCCTTAATGGTAGAACCGGTCACCGTCCAAGGCTCAAGAAAACTCACCAATCTAATCATCAATCCATTAGAATAGAGCTGGAAGGGACCTCAGAGGTCTTCTAGTCCAGCCCCTTGCTCAAGCCGGAGACCCTATACTATTTCAGACGGGGGGCTGCCCAATCTCTTCTTAAAATCCTTCAGTGATGGAGCACCCACAAAATCTCAGGAAATGTCCTTTGAAGGACATAGGACGAGATGGCCACCACCACTCTCTGACTTTCAGCTCCGGCTTTTAAAAGCAATGATTGTAAATATCAATTCTGACGCAGCAGATCTGA